GATACAAGGTTCACATACCTAAAAATGCTTGAATTTTTCTGATTTCCACCAAAAAAAAGAAAATAATTTTTTTTTTTTGAGACAGGGTTTCTCTGTGAAGCTTTGCACCTTTCCTGGAACTCACTTGGTAGCCCAGGCTGGCCTCCAACTCACAGAGATCCGCCTGCCTCTGCCTCCCGAGTGCTGGGATTAAAGGCGTGCACCACCACCACCACCACCACCACCACCACCACCACCACCACCACCACCTGGCGAAAATAAAATTTCTAAAAAGAAATTCAATGATAGTGTGGCATTCAAAAACTGGACTAAAGCTGAATTAAAAACAAGAACAAAAAATTAAGCTCTCAATAGATAGATGTGTTCATTTCAAAAACACAACAGCAAATACAAAACAATGTCATTTCTCCTACATGTGGCCCATAGATTCCGTGTAACCCCAACCAAAATCATACCCGGCTTATTTTCTGTTTGGAGAAACTGACAAATTAATTTAGACTTTTTATGGCCATTTCAAAGGGTGAGAGCAGAAAAGGTAATGGGAGGTCTGGGGCTGAGTGGCTTTCAAACTCAGCTCTAAGCCTGGGATAATTAGGTTCTGACGTATCAGAACATAAAAATCGACAGAGGTCACTGAACAGAGAGCCCAGAAGATGCCAGCTCTAAAGGTGCCTCAGAGCTGGGGACACAGGCTCACATTGCCAAGAAATGCAGTTACCTCACTTGACCATCAATATGAAAATGCGTTAAACACCTGTCCTCGCTGCCTCTGCGTTCTCCTAGACTTTAAGACACAGGTCGACCCCGACTCAGTAACAGTAGATGAGCCTCGGAGGAAGCCAAGGAATGCATTAGGAGTCAGTTCTCCCCTCTGCCATATGGGTCCCAGAGATCGTACTCAAGTCTCGGGGCTCAGCAACAGGTGCTTCCGCCTTCTAAGCCGTCTTGCGGGCCCAAATATTTAATTTAAAATGTTTTCCTTTTCAAAATGCGAGGGTGGCAGAGCAGGTGGGAAGAGTGGAGCGGACAGAATAGAACCAAAGTTGCTAAGAGGAGAGAAATGTAAGAGTGCATAGAAGAGCTACTGTGATGCAGGACCCACAGCCATTGCAGAGGCGTCAGGACAGAGTTACAAGGTTGGGGGCGGGAGTTAGTGTGGTCGGCTGGCCTCGTTAGCATATCTGAGGTCCTGGGATGGAGGGGAGGGAGAAGATCAGGTATGGCCACCGGTGAGGAGGATCCAGGTTGAGGGAAGGTCCTTTGTGGGCGTGACTACAAAGACTCCAGATGGACCATAGGTACCTGCTGACCACGCAAGGATGCCAACCACGATGTGGAAAGTGCCTCCAAGGCCTAAAGCATATTTCTGCACCCAGAACAAAGCCATTCTTTTCCATGTTCCTAAAGACCTCACAGCTACAAAGGTAAAGCAAACATTTATTTTAGAAATAAACAATAAAACTGAGAATCTGAGTAGGCAAATATTTTGCAAGCAAGGGCCCAGCCGGCAGTGCATTCCTGCTTTCTTGCTAGAACTTGGCCCTGCTTCTCTCCAGGCTCAGTAACTTCCTGGTACATTCCGCACAGCCTCGCCCTGTACGGTCTCCAGCTGTCTCCTCCGCAGTGACCGCCCGTGCCACTAGTGACTTCAGCCCCTCTGAAGCCATGATGCCCACCCGTTCCACCTTGAAATGCCTCCTTCCCACCCCTGGCATCTGTGTCCTGCCTCCCTTCCCAAACTGTTCTTCTGTCATAGGAGACATATGAGCGGCCTGAGGACAGTCAGGACCGGGAAGCATTAGAAAGACTGGTGTCCAGCTGGGGGTGGCAGCCAGAGCAAAGTCTAGGCTGAGTTGCCAAGTTAGCTGGCTTGTTCAGCTAGGATACAAGTGGAAGAGGACAGGACAAGCCATATTTCCAGCTTAAATATGCCCAAGTCAGAGGTCAGAGCATAGGATATCAAGACATGGCACAGAAGCTCTCTGCTGGGATATTGGTATCAGATGGTGCTGGGTTCGAGTCCTGATTCTAGTATTCACCAGCTGTATGACCTTAGGCAAGGCCCTGTCCTCTCTGGCCTCACTCTTTTCTAGTGATATGCCTGTGAGCTTCAGGATAGGCACAAAATAGAGATGGAATGGGGGAGGTGAGGGTGCAGTGAAGGTCCCAGGCCAGGCAAGCCTACAGGTTTAAGAGGGTTAATCCTCTATGTCCCAAACAGCTCTTGAGCCTTTCAAAGGTGGAAGCCACCTCCTGGCCTAAGCTTGGTTCTTGGTACCCAAAAGGAAATGAGCATTCACACGTGTGCTCTGAGCTATCAGTCTCTTGAAAGACTGACTGCTTCTCTAAGCAGTTTCTGTCCCTTCCTGTGCTTTGGGATAATGGGAGTTCTCCTGAGTGGCAGTCCTGTAGCTTATGGGAAAAGCTGGCTATGGTTGAAGAACAGGTCCTGGGTAGAGGAGGAGCTACCAGCATCCATCTTCTATGTCCTTTCCCTGCTGTCTTGACTCAGGATCCTCAACTTCTCACATCACCCTGCCTCCTGGTTTTCTCAACAACATTTCTGTCCCTCTCCACTGTGCCCCTCCTTTCCACTTAGACATCCCCAAGTGTCACCTCTAAAGCATTCTCCAAGCCTTCCTTCCATGTTTTCCTCTGTTCTCTGTCCCAAGCCCACTAGTGAGTGGCTTAACCATCCACTAGCTTTCCCCACAGTCCCCAAGGTTCCATGCCGGCTGTCCATTCTCAGGGCACGGCTGACAGGCTGCTCCTTAAACAGAGAGCACAGACAGCCATTGAGGGCCCTGGAAGGTGCAGAAGGGAGCCAGCTTCCCATCCCAGGCACAGGTCTGGGATCCCAACTACAGTATGAGTTTAAGGATACTTGTCCGACTTAGTGAAACTGTGGAAAACAGGAGGTAAAGGTGAACTGAGGATTCAGCTCAGAGAGAGAGCACTTTCCTAGCAGAACTATTTTGAAAAAGTGCACATGGGCACACACAGGCATACCAGCATACACACCAACAGCCTGATACACACGAACATGGACACACATCTAGAAATATGCCACACACACACAGATACAGAACAGAAATATGTACAGACAGACCCCAACATGCACCACACATGTACACATATACAGACAAGCAGAGAACTCCCATATTCACACACACACACACACACACACACACACACACACACACACACAAGGCAGGAACCCCAGGGCCATCCAAATAAGGCCACAACCCCAGATATTGGCACCACAGAAGAAAGGACGACCTCAGAATCGCTGCACTTGGGGAGGGGCAGATCTCACAGGATCTGTAGATTGATATGTTTAAGAAGAAAGGCCTTTCCCTGCCCAGCACAGGTCCCAGAACAGGAGGCTTAGCACTCACCGATGGTCTAAGCACCTGGATGGTCCCTTGGCATTACATCTCCAGGCAAGAAGAGAGAAGCAGGGGCTGTAGGACTTGTTTACCCCAGGCCAGTTAGGGGCATCTCCCCGAGAAGCCGCAGCATCTGAACTTGAACTCAGAGCTCTGACTTCCTGGGCTCTTGGCCAGCTCGGCTTCCCACTCTTCTCACACTCACTCAGCACAGCTCAAGTGCACACACACGGAAGCTGTTGACCTGGAGAGGTGGTTCTGGGGGAGGCTCTGGACCCCTTAAACACTGCCCTGAGGTAGGGTGCAAGGCCCTGCCTTCACCTAACCCAAGGCAGGTCTCCTCATCTGCACAGATGGAAGTCTTTTCTCCTTCATCTTTCCTTATCCTGATCTACAAATTAAGGTGCCTCCTTGATCATAAGGTTTCTCACTCATTTTTTCCATTTGATTTAGCATTGCTTTTTAGTCCTTGATTTGAGTTATTTCTAAATAAGCAACTTGAATATTAATTATTCCTTTGAAGAAACTCTCTTGGATGTGTGGCTGGCTCTTAATTTTTCCTATGGATTCTTTATCTTGAGGGTAGGGTTAGGGGATTAGACAGTGTTCCCCATTATGTAGCTCAGACTGGCCTCAAACTCTAGCTATGTAGCTCTGGCTGACCTTGAACTCACCATATTGATAAGACCAGCCTCAAATTCATGGCAATCCTCCTGCTTCAACCTCCAGAGTGTTGGGATTACAGATGTACACCACCATGTCTAGTTTTACAGATACTTAGTAATAAAGGCATGAACCAGGTCTGGTTGGACATTTTTTTTTTGTTCTATATTTTGTCAAGACTCAGTCACTCATCTGTGGGGACATCAGATGCCCCTACAAGTAACAATAAAGTGTAATGATATATTAGTGTAAAGGTACAGATGTAGAGACAGATGTGTATGTGTATGAAAGTATCATTATAAACCCATCTCTTTGTATTCTAGCCAAAGACTAAAATGAGTAGAAAAATAAAACATTTTTTAAATGATAGAAGCTCCCCACCACTGCCTCTCCAGGAGCCATGCACACATACATGATTTTGTATGCTTTGGTTTGGTTTGTACTTAGGTTTACATGCAGTTGTTGAGCCTGACTGTATAGGACAGCCACTTGAACCTTTTGTTTTTGAAACTAGGTCTGCTATGTAGCCCTGACTGGCCTAGAACTCAGTATGTAGATCAGACGGCTTCAAACTGAGAGATCTGCTGCCTCTGCCTCCAAGTGCTGGGATCAAAGGTGTGCGCCACCACACCTGGCTCTCATTTGGCACTTTTTATAAACTTCCAGGCTCGGGTCTCTGCAACAGTCAGAATCCTGAGGACAGGGTCAGACTTTAAACAACAGTATATGTTGGCTAGACGTCTCAGTGGTGACAGGTGATGTGGACTGTGAACTGGAGAAGGTAAGGAATGCTGAGAACCTGACACTCCGTTCACCAAGTGGCAGAACTGTCCTTCTGAAAAGGGCATGACCCATAGAATCTGGATATGTGCCTTTGACTTTGTGCCTGGCCTTCTCTCTTTGTCAACACAAGTGTCTGGTTTAGGAGGAGGACCCGGTCAATGGTACCTGAGATGTCCCTGAAATTCCACATCCTTGTCTTGATATCTTGGCTGCTTCTTGGCCCAGGGATTATTCTTTGTCTCCTGTTGTCCCCTGAACACTAGATCCCAGGTCCCCTGTTGTCCTCTGTCTGTTGCAGCCAGCCATGATCTTGCTGCTGGCCTGAGGTGGTCTAGTAGCCAGTCATCCAAAGGGAGGAGAGGCATTGTGACATCGACAGTTGCCATGCTTCCTGAGCCCTTCTGCCTTTCCTCGGGGTCTGGCTGGCTGCAGATGGTCATTAAAGGTGAGTGTTAGGGTAACCATCCCTGTCCTAGACAGGAAGCCCAAAGCCAGGCACACTGTAAGTGACCTCATTTAGGATGTCCAGACTCAGAGATTGAGAAAGACACTGGCTTTCATCTCACTTCCAACAAGCAGAGACTCTGAACCAGACCTGACCAGTTCCGAAGATAAGCGAGCTCAAGAGTCCACTTCCTCTGTGCCAGGATCACCTAGAAAGCCAGCAAGGATGCACATGGCTGACTCAGACCTGGGGTGGAAACAAAGAGCTGGCCTGTTAACAAGGCACTCTGAGAGCAGCTGTAGAGAGATTTCCATCTTCAAAGTCTTTGGACAGCACTTGAGAGACAGACCAGCCTGCTCTGCACTTCCTCCTCTACCCCAGTCACGATTCCGCTGAACGTTTCTCACTGGGAAACATTCTTGTCCATCCTTCCCACTGCTCTCAGGCCCGTCCTCAACTTGTCCAGAAGGAGGATGAAGCTGCCCTTCTAGACTCAAACAAGCACTTGATCTACCATCAAAGCAACTACGTGGCCTTCCTCACAATCCCCAGTATTTTCCAGCGCCAGCTTCTGCAACCAAAGCCCGTGCAGACCTTGCACTGTTCTGCTTGCATTGTCTGGACTCTTAGCTCTCTCTCCAGACTCCAGTCCTTCCTCAGTGCCTTCTCGTTTGGCAGCTCCTGGGTCAGTTACACCATGGATTCACTGAGCGCTCTCTTTTTGGAGATCATCATGTCACAGTTCCAGGTCTTAACTCAGTGTTCCCCTTTTTTTTGGGGGGGGGGGGCGCATTTCAAGACAGGCTTTCACTGTGTACCTCTGGCTGTCCTGGATCTCACTCTGTAGACCAGACTGGAACTCACAGAGATCCTCCTGCCTCCGCCTCTTGAGTGCTGGGATTAAAGGCGTGCACCACCACTGCCCAGTTTTGTTTTTGTTTTGTTTTTGTTTTTTGTTTGTTCGATTTCATTCACTCGGTGTTTCTAACAAGCTCCTTTTTACATGGGGGGAAGGATGTTCCAACAAGGGAAGAATCATGTGAAATGGTGGTGTGGAGGGGCACAGAGAGGCTCAGATGTTAGGATCTGGAAAAATGTTGATGTCAAGACAAAGATGGGAGATTTGTGTTGAGCCGGCAAGGCTGAGAAAGTCACTGGACAGTCTTGTGTTCAAAGGTCTGGCAGAGATAGGATTAGAAGTATAACAGACGGGCAGATAACTGTCCTAGGATTCCCACAAACTTCAAAGAACACAACCCACGAGCTTCCTGTAAAGTGAAGGATGCTCAGCTGCTTGTATCTGGGTCCAGATGTCTATACAGATAAATACCGTGTGAAATGGTCCAGGGCCTAGAGGCAGACCGACCACTGGATAAGCTAGAACCACTCAGAGAGGTACCTGCTTGTGCACATGGTGCTGTAGGGGACCATGATGCCTATCTGGTCTGTGTCTCTGTTACCCCTGGCAAGACTCCAAACCAAGAAAAGAAATCTATAGCCTGAGTTGTTCGCCTCCCACGGGCTTGCCTGGCCTTTGACTCCTGGCTCCAGGGAGATGCATTTTTCCTTCCTCTGTGGGTAGCAAATTCCTCACAAGTCAGATGCTTGTGTGTGTGGCCTCACCACATGCTTCTATCGGCCGCGAGAGGGGTCAAGCCGAGTAGGGGTGCTCCGTGAACTGGCCTCATCCCTGGCATCTCGTGACCTCCAAAAGGCAGGTACTGAACGTGGCCTTCTTCCGTCACTCCAGACAGAATGAATTTGTCGTCCAGAGGTTCTAGACTATTCCATGCCAGGAACCTCTTTCTCAACCCTTTTCATAAACTTACCCCACAGATCTGTTGTCCTGGTTCCCACTTTACAAAACCCTGAAGTTGGGGCACACAAGAATCAAGTTGTCCAGATGTCTTAGTGCATTTTCTAGTGCTATAACAAACCACTGGACACTTGGAAACAGAACTGAAGTTCACTGGCTCTTGGTTCTGGAGACTAGGAAGTTCAAGAGCCCAACGCTGACATCTGCGTCGTCACTAAAGAGGGGACTCTTCTTGTATCCTAAAAGGCAAACTTATGTGAGCAAGCGTGTCAGAGAATGTTCATTCCATAGCAAAACCACTCCCTTGGTAGCCTTTTAACACATTAATCCACGCAGGGACTAGCCCACTCACAAGAGCAGATCCCCAGGCCCCAGTCACCCTACAAAGATGCCCCCTCCAAACACTGTCAACATGTGGCTTGGGGGCTCTAATTTCTAGCGTGTGAGTCCTAAAGGACATAGTTTGTTAGGGATGACTCAAAGCACAAACCATGACAAGGGAACACTTTCTGGAGTAGGATGTTCCAAATAAGGTCGGGACGGTGTACAAAGCTATGAAGGGTGGAGAGGCCTTGGGGCTGGAGGTGCGGGGGGGCCATAGATAACGGTCAGGTCATGGAAAGTTCTATACATGTTCCCCAGACTTCTTTAAGCATCTCTTTAGTGTAACAGCCCCCAAATGCACAGAGGACATGCTGCGCCTCCATTCAACCTCTCCTACATGCATGGCTCTTCCACCTGCCTCTCTGCCCCCCTCAAGTCATTGGCCAAATGGCCTTCGATGTATTTCTTTGGCCTCCACACTTGTTATATATGAAAGCAGAAAAATATCAGGGAAAATGATTAGGGCCGAAGTTTAACTCATGGTTAACGTTCCCTTCTAGGATGTGACACAGCACACACATCGTTCAGTCTTGATGTGTTCCCCACCCCACCCCCCACTCCCCATGGCCCTGTGACTCTGGCTAAGTATATCAAAGGTGGACACACAATCAAATCAAGTTGGATAGGTGTCCCCCCTTGCTGTGGGATGTCTTTCTGTATTTTGTGAATATGTGTTGCTCTGACTGGTTGATAAATAAAGTGGCACTTGCCTGTGGCAAGGCAGCTTAGAGGCAGGTGGGAAATCCAAGCAGATATACACAGAGAAGAAAGGAGAGGGGAGAGATGCCAGCAGACCAGTAATGCCATAGCCATGTGGCAACTTATAGATTGATAGAAATGGGTGAAATTATAAAAGCTAGCTAGCAAGAAGCCTGACATAGGCCATGCAACTGGTAATTAATATTAAGCCTCTGAGTGATTATTTTATAAGTGGCTACAGGACTACAGAGCCAGATGGGACCAGAGAAACTTATGGCTACACCCCCTCTTCACTTTGTTTCCTTGTATGTATAGAAGAAACTCATTGCTAACATGCGGAAGTCACTGATTACACCTCCATGGACTTTTTCACAGGTCCCTCTGTCCCTGTAAGTTAGCATCTAAGAGGCTTGGCTGGGTTCACATTCACTTGTTGTGGCTTGAATGAAAATGGCCCCCATAGGCTCCTAGGGAGTGGCACTATTAGGAGGTGTGGCCTTGTTGGAGTAGGTGTGGCTTTGTTGGAGGAGGTGTGGCTTTGTTGGAGTAGGTGTGGCTTTGTTGGAGGAGGTGTGGCCTTGTTGGAGTGGGTGTGGCTTTGTTGGAGGAGGTGTGTCACTGGGGGTGGGGCTTGAGGTTTCAGAAGCTCAAGCCAGGCCAAGTCTCTCTCTCCCCTTACTGTCTGCCAATTCAGATGTAGAACTCTCAGCTACCTCTCCAGCATCATGTCTGCCTGCATGCCACCATGCTCCCTGCCATGATGGTAGTGGACTAAACCTCTGAAATGTAAGCCAGCACCAATTAAATGTTTTCCTTTATATGAGTTGCCTCATATAAGACATATGGTGTCTCTTCACAGTAATAGAAACCCTAACTAAGACACTTGTCTATAGAGTGTGCTGTAACATAGCACGTGCTACATAAGTCAGGGTTGCCCCTCCTTTCCTGATCTTAAGAGCTATTGATCTGCTGACTAGAAAAAGTACCTGATTAATAACTAGAGATTATTAATGGCTTCTTAAAAAGCCATTGGAAGGTTTCTGCAAAGTAACACATCTTATCAACTCTGGCTACACAGAAGTATGGTTTGTAAGAAAAACAAGACAAATGCTGGATTTTCCCCTTTTATTTACTAATTTCCAAAACAATAAAATGAGTGCTTGTAATACTCCAAAAGCAGTCAAAATTGTTGGGTTTTTGTAGTGTTTATAAGAAATACACTCCATGGACACCACCTCCACACACTTGCAACTACAGAGCCTACATAAGGTGATGTGATGGTTTGAATGAGAACAGCTCCTATAGGCTCTTATATTTGAATGCTTGGTCACCGGGGATTGGAACTGTTTGAAAAGTTTAGAAGGACTGGGAGGTATGGCTCTTTGAGTGGAAGATCCACCTCAACTCTCCTCCCCCATCTCTTTCCCCAAACCCACCCCTTCAAAGCCTGCCAAACACAGCTCCTCCCCTAGTGAGGCTCAAGACCACTCCCACAGGGTATCTAAGTTGCATGCCTGAAAACAGACACATGGTTTTCCAGTCTTTCATCTCCGTCTCCTCTCTGGGGGGCTGGAGAATCATCTGGGAATGTTTTACCTATTAAACCATGACTTTCCTAATTCAGTCTGATTTGGATTGTTGCATCGGCAGAGAGGCTTATTGGGGTGCGAAGAAAATTTATCAATGGCCTTGTTGGTGGAAGTGTGTCACTGGGGGGTAGTATTTGAGGTTTCAGAAGCCCACACATGGCCCAGTATCTGTCTGTCTGTCTGTCTGTCTGTCTGTCTGTCTGTCTGTCTGTCTCTCTCTCTCTCTCTCTCTCTCTCTCTCTCTCTCTCTCTGTCTCTCTCTCTCTCCCTGTGGATCAGGATGTAACCCTCAGCTACTGCTCTAGTGCCGTGCACACCACCATGCTCCCTGCTATGATAATAATGGACTAAATCTCTGAAACTGCCAGCGAGGCCCCAGTTAAATACTTTCTTTTGTAAGAGATGTCTTGGTCATGGTGTCTCT